CTCAGGATCGCGCTGTCTCCTGGCACGGCCGCTCCAGACCCGTCGCCATCTTAGAATCCTCTCATAAAACTTTAAAACCAGCGAGGAAAAACAGCGGCGGCAGGGCGAGCAGGGCGGGCAGGGCCGTGGTTTTAATTTTACTTCCCTGGTGACTGGTGGTGTCGAGTATTATTTCAAGTGCTTATGGGCTATTCATATATCTTATTCGGTGAAGTGAATCTTCAAGTCTTTTTATTGAATTGTTTGTCTTACTGAGTTGTAAGAGCTATTTATATACTCTGGATAGAAGACTTCTGTCTTCTATATCTATCTATCTAAATATCTTTCTATCTCTAATGAGTATTTTCTTTCAGTCTGTGGCTTGCCTTTTAATTTTCTTGATGGCACCTCTTTATGAGAAGATATTCTAATTGTGATGAAGCCCAGTTTATCAATTTTTTTTTTTTAATAGTTGGGGCTCCCATGTCCTATCTAAAGCAATCTTTCCCTCTTCTAAAGTCAGGGGGCTTTTCTCCTATGTTCTTTTTGGAACACTTTATGACTTTTATGTTTTGGTCTATGGTCTATGTTTAATTACTCTTTGTGTGAGGTAGGGAATTAAGGTTCTTTTTTGCTAATACAGCTATCCAGTTGATCTAGCAGCATTGTTGAGAAGACTACCCTTTCCCCATCGAATTACCTTGACACCTTCATGGAAAATCAGTTGACTGGTTAAGTGTACGCCTATTTCTGGACTCTGGCAACAGGTTTACATATCTATCTTTATTCCACAACCACACTCTCTTGATTACAGTGGCCTTATACTAAGTCTTGAATCAGGTAGTATAAGTTCTCCAAATTTGTTCTTTATTTTCAAAATTGTTCTGGCTCTTCTAGGTCTTTTGTATTTCTATGTAAGTTTTGGAATCAGGAGGCCTTTTATTACCACAAAAGCCTGCTGGGATATTTGTTGGGATTTTAGATCCATGGATACTGTATAATTCTCCATTTACTTAGGTCTTCTTTAATTTCTCTCAGCAGTATTTTGTAGTTTTTGGTGGGGGAGGTCTTGAATATCTTTTATTAAATTCATTCCTAAATATTTCATGCTATTTGATGCTATTGTAATCTGTATTTTAATTTCACTTTACATTTCTTTTTAGTATATATAAATACTCTTAATTTTTGTACACTGACCTTGTATATTACAACCTTGACAGATTTACTTATTAATTATAGCAGATTTTTGATAAGTTTGAGGATTTTCTACATAAATAATCATGTCACTTGTGAAACAAGACAGGTTCAGTTTTCCTTTCCAGACTTTTACCTTTTATTCGTCTTGCCTTATTGTATCAGACCTTCAGTACAAGGTTGAATAGAATTGGAGTAGACATCCTTGACTTGCTAACAGTGTTAGAGGGAGATTGTTCAATATAGCACCATTTTGTATGTTGTTGGCTGTATGTTTTTTGTGGATGCCCTTTATCAAACTGAAGAAGTTGTCCTCTGTTCCTAATTTGTTGAGAGCTTTTAATCATGTCATGTATTGGTACTGAGTTCTATTCTGTGCTATTTCTGCATCTGTTGAGATGATCTGTTCATTTGTCAAATGTAAACATTTTTGAATCTCTGGTTTAAGCCCTACTTAGGAATATTATATTTTATTTATACACACATATACACATTAGATTTGCTAATATCTGATTTAGGATCGTCACCTATACACCTGACTGAGGTTGGCCTGTAATTTCCCCTTTTACCCTGTCCTTGTCCTATTTTTGATATCAAAGTTAGACTGACTGATGAGTTGAGGAGCTTGCCCTCTTTTTCTTTTCTTAAGAACAAGTCATATAGTGTAGGGATTATTTATTCCTAGGAAGTTGTTAGAAGTTGCCTGTAAAGACCTAGACATGGTACTGTTTGTACATAGTTTTCTTGTTTTTGTTTTTTAAATCAATCAGTCTTTACAATTGATTAGATCTGAGGAACAATGGGACAAAGGTGATGACTGTCTCACTCTTTCTTAAAAGTTGGGTAATAACTCCTGTAACATTTTAGCAGCAAAGGAGGAAAGAGTAATTTCATCATCAATGTAAACATGAAGTAGTAGTTTTCTAGAAAGCAGATGATGCAAATGGGCCGGGGAAAGCTGATCAGGCTCTAGAGGTACCTGCAGCAACCTCAGCCTATGAGATGATATTGATAAATTTGTAGGAGAATCTAAAATCTTTGTTAAACCTGAAAGATTAGGTCTTTAATTCATCTCTAATACTCACCTATTAATACAGAACAATAGAGGATTAATGTAAATTAACCTCCTTAATTTCTCAGTGCCTGACAAAAAATCTAATAAGTCAGAAGCACTAAACAATCAGATGATACGTTCCTCTGGAATTTTCTTTTGTGTTGAAAGAAGTACCTGCTATGGCATGCATGTGGTCTAGGCTTCCTAGCCATACAATTCAAATATATCATATATCCCAAAAGGCTGCAAGGCCACTACAGCTAATAAAAATAACCCAAACAGTACTGGCTAATTTTTGATTGAAAGGTTTGCCAGTGATGATGAAATGAATACCATCTATTATGTCTCCCTTTATTTCTGACAGCTGTAGCATTTCCCAGTTATTCACACATGTGAATTTTGGTGCAATACTGTACTTACAAGACTTTTTACAGGCTTCCAAGAAACAGCTTCCAGGCTCTACTCAACTTTGGTTTAAGCTGATAAAATTCTTGCCCTGTGCTAAGGAAGTATTAGATATTATACAGTATCCTTTAGTTGGAGAAGACAGCCTTCTAATCCTTAGAGTTCTTATTTCTGCAAACGCAATCCACTCTCTGTGTAAGTCTACAGAACTGACTCAATTAATCAGTCTGAGGGAAGCTTTCTTTTCAGGACATTTTCTGTCCTGAGAACTTTATGTAAATCACTTAGGTTAAAGTTCTAACACCATGCTCTTCTTGGACTCTACTCAACATTAAGGGGCTCCAAACTGGACTGCTAAGAAAGAAGAGTGGCTTGTTGCTTTTCATGCTAACAGAAAGTTATGGGTGAAAGTTAGGGATCAGAGGTGGCTTAAATGTACAGATGCAGTTTGTTCATGGGGGTATTTGCCTGCCAACCCCTTTGTTCTGCAGAGCTCCAGTGGTAAACTGACTGACTTCCTCAGCTTCTACACGCTCCCCTCGACGGTCATGCACCACCCCGCTCACAAGAGCCTCAAAGCTGCCTACTCCTTCTACAACATCCACACGGAGACGCCCCTGCTGGACCTCATGAACGACGCACTCATTATAGCTAAGTTGGTAAGCGACTCATTCCTTTTTGTGCTACTTGGTTCTTCAAATATGTATGTCAAAGTACAGTCATGCTCCAAATAATGTTTTGGTCAATAACAGACTGCATATAAAATGGTGGTCCCATAAGATTTATGTCAAAGTACAGTCATGCTCCAAATAATGTTTTGGTCAATAACAGACTGCATATAAAATAGTGGTCCCATAAGATAATGGAGCTGAAAAATTCCTGTTGCCTAATGATGTTGTAGCCGTTGTAACATCATAACACAATTGCTGTATTTTCTTGCAAGTTTAGTGTAGCCTAAGTGTACAGTGTATATAAAGTCTACAGGAGTGTAATGTTCTAGGCATTCACATTCACTCATCACTCACTCACTGACTCACCCAGACCAACTTCCAGTCCTGCAAGCTCCAGCCATGATAAGTGCCCTATACAGGTGTACCACTTTTTTATCTTTTAAATCATACTTTTACTGTACCTTTTCTATTTTTAGTTATGTTTAGATACACAAATACCTACCATCGGGTTACAGTTGCCTACAGTATTCAGTACAATAACGTGCTGTACAGGTTCGTAGCCTAAGAGCAATAGGCTAGACCATAGAGCCTAGGTGTGTTGGGCTATACCATCTAGATCTGTGTAAGTGCACTCTGAAATGTTCACACAATGATGAAGTCACTAGTGCACTAATGACACATTTCTCATAACGTATCCCTGTCCTTAAGCAATATGACTACATAAAATATGTTTTCTTCCACATAGTCAAATTCTTTTTTATTTTTATTTTTTATTTATTTATTTATTTTTTTTGTCTTTTGTCTTTTTCTGTGTCCGGCAACGGATCGCAACCCTCAGTGTTGCCCCCGTACCGGACTGGGGACCGGCAACGGGATCGCAACCCTCGGGGTCGCTCCCGCGCCTCGCTCAGCCAGTGAGCGGGAACC